ATTGATTATCATTTTTACTAAAGAGCATACATGGCCACTAGCAATACTAACTTCAATAAACCCACGAACGGTTAGGGGAATGGCGAGGCGAACATGTCTGAACTTTAACGCAAGTCACAGTGATGCCAGGCCCACGCCAGCATTATCGCTCCCATCTTTTACAACCTCGTGTATATCCTCTTACTGACTAGGGGAGCTGTAAAGATCACCAGAACGGCTCAAAGACCGCAGTAGCAACGACACCTGGTGGCGCTCAGGGAACCGCGCACTAATGGCCGTTAATGGGGCGCCCGCTACGCGCGGCTGCTAGTGGCAGCTCCTCGGCGGGAACACGTGTCCGTGACAGCGGCGGCGGAGGCGGCGCCCCGACACCCTCGACACCCGCACGCCGGTCACCGAGCGCATACTTGCAGTGCTTTGCAAGTCAGAGTGATAGCTAATATACGAGTTGGTATTGCAGGTATAACAGTGTAAAACGTACCGTACGGTTGACGAGGTTTTATTACATGAATATTGACCACGCGCCACGATGCACTTTCGATTACTTATGTATATAAAAATGTCTTCTTATACTACCACCCATCACGTCCAGCACATACAGATACGCTCACGCTCGCACGCATGAGCCGCATCCCGACACTGATAAAATTTCTGTCGCTAACAGTTAACCATGCGATTAAATGTTGCTCGTTTAACGAAGTAAAACGATTCGATCAAGCCATGACTGCCATCATTCTGTTTTTGCCAACCAGCAGCTGCTCCAACTCCATCTACATCTACATCTGTGACCGGAATTGATCCGGCTTTAGTCATTCGAGATGCGAGCGCGAGCCACTTCCGACGTGCGTCGAGGTCGTGGCGCGGCTGTGCGAAGTCGATACGCCGTATTTTGTCTGCGTTTCTTTGTAAAAAAATCTCATTTAGAACAAACGTCCACCGGGGGAATAAGTAAATTCTTAAGCCGACAAAAATGTATAGGCAAACACGCGCTACGCATTTACACGGACACGCACGTACAATTTGCGCGAGATCCTTGTAAACTTGTCATTGTGACTGATGAAGACTGAAGTTTTAAAATAGGATTTCAATTTAAAAATTAATATGCAATGATAAAGCGCCTTCACGTACACAGAGAAAGAAGGAGAGAGATGGGGAGGGAGAGATGGACGAGTGGAAGGATAAATGAATGGATAGATGGATAGATGGATGAATGGATGTATGGATCAATGGATGGATGAATGTATGGATGGACGGATGAATGAATCGATGAATGAATGGATAGATGGATGGATGGGTGGATGAGTGAATGGATGGATCAATGAACTTCTTTATGTATATACGTATACAATCGACACCAATGAAGACCTAACAGGAAAATATAAAACAAAGGTGTCGTATGCGAGCTGTCGAGACAATATGCCTCTTCGTCAGACTATAATATAACATATATAGTACGATAATAACATAATATCGCAAGTACACAATGAGATTAAATGATAAGGCATAAATATGAATAAACATCGAATATACATAAAATTTCACACGTGACACGCGTACGTCGTTGGTGCACGCACGCACGCACGCACGCACGCACGCGCGAAAGAGTGAATAATGACAGATCTAGAATAAATGTCATTATTCACCCCTGATTCTCCAACTTTCGAATTCGCCTCTGCCACACAAATACACGCGAACGGACGCACGCAAGCACGGACACACATACACACACACACATATATATATATATTGGCGCTTGCGTTAGTGTTAGGAGGCATCGTTAGAGCTAGCTCTAGTACTATAGCCCGCGTGCAGTTGCCGAAGGCTATAGTACTAGACTACGCCCTGCGGCAACTGTACGCGGGCTATAGTACTAAAGCTACGTTAGAGCTGGCGTTAGAGTTAGAGTTTGACGCAGGGTTAGAGTCAGCGTAGTTATTAGAGTTACGGGGCAGAGTTAGAGTCAGTGTTAGGGTTAGAGTTAAGGGTAGGGTTAGAGCCAGCGTTTGGATTAGATTTAACTCAATTATGCAACTAAGATCCTAATTCTTACTGCAATTGTCATTTAACAAAAGCCCCTGCCACTAACCGAAACCTCACGTCCAACCTTCAGTTGAATCACCTCCCGCACTTAAAGAATAGCGATCATAACGAGTGGATTGTATCTACACAAGAACGATATTGTATCTCCACTGCCACAGTACGACACTCCGCAAACAGCGTCATACTTTCCCGACATGACATCCATTAAGTACAGCCATCATCTGCACTGCAAATATAATTAACGATTCTCAGCATCCTGCTAATTAGGCATCGTAATTACATATTAATGAGCTTAAAAATACAGGCAATCCGCCGACCTCGCTAAACTCTTATATTTTAAATTTATATTGAAATTTTATAATGGTGGAAACGACATGGACGGCACAGCGCCTGTACCACGGCCTCATCACAGGCACACATACGCACACGCACACTCACACTCACACACGCACGCGCACGCACGCACGCACGCACGCACGCACGTACGCACGCACGCGCGCGCACACACACACACACACACACACACACACACACGCACACATACACAAGCCCGCCTACACAAACACACATATACGTGCGCGCGTAAACGCGCGAAATCTCTAGCCTCTAGGTTCTCGGTCTAGTCTCTAGGTTAGCGGCCCAACAGGCAAGCCGCCTGATTCTTTTCTCAAAGTTGTTTCATAAACACCATTTCTCACATTGATTTCATTATAATTGAATACTGACTAAAGTAGTAGGCATGTAAGTGCGTCGTTATCACGGATCGCTTTCATTAAAACCAGTATCTATCCGATTAGTGGCTATTTCGCACGATGCTATAGAGTTTAGTACGAGTAACGGCTTGCACTCTCATCATTTGTGTCTCAGTAACGATGTCATTTCAAAATTTTCAGAAATTGGCACTAGCTGGCAGTCCAGACTTAATGTAGGCCTACTGTTGTTGACTGATTCCAAAATAGCCTAAATCATGTAGCATAAACACTGTTGACCCTCCGTGGCACGGTTTTTTTCAAACTAGCTAAGACATATATATAATAGTCAACCTGGTCTTAAGCATGCGATAACAACTTAATGCTATATATGATGAAAACGTTACATTGTATATCCTAAATGCTATATATGATGAAAACGTTACATTGTATATCCTAAATGCTATATATGATGAAAACGTTACATTGTATATCCTAAATGCATCTCATTAACAACAATGTAGAAATGTAGCATTTACTTCGCTTTTCTGAATTGGAACTACAATGAGCATGTTCAAAACTTCCACGGAAACCGTATTACTTATTTCGCCACACGATACTTCTTTCTGTCATCTAGCGGCAGTTCCCGAAAAATCTAAATGGCAGCGATGCGTGAGTACAACCGATCTAGCTGCATGTTCTGAGCATAAATATCTTCACGCTTAATAGGGTATAACTGTGACCGTTACAACTAGTAGCGCATGACTAAAAGCACATAGGTCATTATCACCAATTGCAAACACGTGCTTTTTCTCGCGTGGCTTACTATTTACAATTCTTGGGACGCGCCTGCCCTATCCATCTATATGTCCTATCCATCTATATGCCCTATCCATCTATATGTCCTATCCATCTATATGTCCTATCCATCTATATGTCCTATCCATCTATATGCCCTATCCATCTATATGGCTGTAACAGAAAACACCCCGTGCCCACGGGCAGGGATGACGTATATACAGGTGTTGTACACGTGACCTGACTACGTGAAGCCAAGACAAAGAATGTTGGGCTGCACGCGAGATGGATCAGACATGAAGCCCACGTTGGCAGTTGTTGTGTCCAGATGGTGGACACGTGAAGAATGGCGGACTAAGACGTGTGCTCTCGGGTGGGAACAATTTTTCTATCGTAATGGTGTTTCGAGGTCGTGCAACCTGGTAAGAAGTATACAGGATTGAAGTTGATGTGTGTAAGAAACGACCAACACAGCTGTATGGACTAAAAATCGACTAAAAATCAGGAAATATTGATATGTTGGAACTTTACATTTGGAGTCCAGTATCGGGTACCTGCTTTAGCCATTGACTGCACGGACACGGGCTAGTAGTGATCAAAATGGTTTTATGGAACGACGGTACATAGGTGAAAATACAAGAATGATATACGATATCATTGAATATACTAAAACATTCCAGTTGCCTGGTCTCCTACTACAGATAGACTTTGAAAAAGCATATGATTCTTTTGATTGGAAGTTTATATCACGGGCACTATATTTTTCAACTGCCAATCAATTCAAAAATGGATAAGCATTTTTCAGCATCAGTCAAACTCATGTGTAATTGTAAATGGATTTGCTTCTCCATTTTTTAACTTATCTAGAGGATGTCGTCAAGGGGATCCAATTTCACCATACTTATTTATAATATGTGCTGAAATTCTAAGTATACTAATTAAAAATAATAACAATATAAAAGGAATAAGAATAAATGAAACTGAATATCTTCTCTCACAATTTGCTGATGATACTACCATTCTCTTGGATGGCACTGAGAGAAGTCTTAATAATACCTTAACTCTTTTGGAATTTTATGCAAGCATTTCTGGGCTAAAAATAAACCTTGAAAAAACCAAAGTAAAATGGATTGGCAGTGAAGCATATTCAAGCGAACGTTTATGTACGCAATGGCCTATCGACTGGGAAGAAAATTCTTTAAAAATATTAGGAATAAGATTTTCATTAAATCTAGCTGATATGGTGGAAAGAAATTATAAGGACAAATTAAATCTCTAATGTATCATTGACCATTAAAACAACTTTTTTTATTTTAATGAATGATTGTGTGCGTACCCGGTCGCGCGTGTGTATGTGTGTTTTTGTGACTGTAAAAACGCGTATTATAGCCGTAAATCCATTTTTTGTGCAATGACGAGTGAAAAAGTTCGAGCCGAATTATCTGCTATTTAGAGTACATGAATAAGACTCACCTCTTCTCTGAATTTCTTTATGTTGTCTCCTTTCTGTAAAAAATAATGTAATCAACATACATTATTACATGTAATATACACATACACTCATTCTACGCATAATAATCTTCAGCGCTCGCTGATCAGGCTAATACTTGATTGACATGAAACTGCGCCGAATAAAATTGTAACATGAATCATAAACGGGACATGTTCGAACATCACTTCGCGAGCTAAATGCGAAATGTTAATTGTACTCTTCTTCATTGCCAGTCTCCGCAATGTCTGTAATAAAATTATTGTCTCAGTTTTAATAAACGCGTCGCGGCGCTGTATTCCAGCCACTCGTGATTACAACACATTATTCAACGTGCGCGTAAAACCAGCAATCATTGTCATAATCTCCGCGCGGAATATTTAGCGCTCCTGTATTATCGTAGACGAAATTTGCGCGAGTCGATTCGAATACAAGAGCCGATACTAAACTGACGCCGCGCATATTCTAATTACAATCCGTGTGCGATAAACAATTAGAGCGGTTGAAGTCTGGCATTATCTCTGCCTTACTAAGGCGCCTTTACATTTAACGGAAAACGATTTGGTGTATTATTAAATTTCAATATACGTGTTACTCGAAAACCAGCGATCCGTTGTTGTTAACGGCGTTAGTCAGCGAACGGGCTAGGTTAGCTACTATAAACAGTTATACGTGTATCGGATCAAGCCTAGCGCAGACTTGGGACTTTTTCATGCAACTCGGCTGCGATTCTAGAATGTATCTCTAATGTATCATCGTTATGTTATTCTAGAATCGCAGTCGAAGTTGCTGTGAAATCGCTATGTCTGAGAGACTGAGGGAACGTGCAACTGCAACTCGTAGCGATTCTAGTCGCTTGCAACGAGTTGCAAGAAATCAAACTGGTTTGATTTTCAGCAACTCGTCGCTCCCAATCGCTTCGAAATCGCTTTGAAATCGCATGTGTGCGCACACACGGTGAAGCGTGCGACCGATCGCATGCGGTTGCAGGCACAGGGACCTGAGGCAAAAAAAAAGTGTTATATATATAAAGAGAAGTGTGAAGTGTTATATATATAAAGATATATATATATATCCTTCTCTTTATATATATAACTTTCTTTCTTTTTCTTTTTTTGGCTCAGGTCCCTGTGGTTGCAGGTTGCAGCGACGAGCAACCAAAAGTCGCAAGTCTGCGCTAGGCTTAAGCAATCGAAACCGCCGGGGCAGAAAGAACAACAGATTTCACGATCGCGCGCAAGATAACGACACTTATCAAAATTTAGGCTAAGCCGCGGTGAGGGTTTTTCTTCGCGTGCTAAGAAAAAATAAGTCGCCGTACATACGCACCACCCACCGGGCCACGCCCACCGCCCGTCACTGTACACATTCTCAGCGAGTGAGACAATTCTTACTGACGTGACTAAGGAATAGAGAAGCTATTATGGATAGTGAGTTGTTATTCATCAGCGGAGCAACACATCCTAAGCTTCTCACTTGGTGTTAGATTTAGTAAGAATCCATCCTCAAAAAGGCAACGGAGGCTCAAATTCTATTTACGATCGAGGCAGGTTTACATTCCCGCCACGCTTTATTTCTTAACAACACGCTCAAAACAACAGAACATCGCGCAAGTTATAAAGATTACCACCCGATGGCAGCACGTCTCAATCGATAATAATACATGTCACAATATCTCACACTTTGGTTGTGTTCATTAGAGGAGGCCCCCTTCTTTCATGCTCGCCATTTTTTTCATCGACGGCTCCTGTCTGCAAAGTGCCCGATCTCTCCCCCTACTATACTTTACATAAAAGATCCCCGATTTTTCCCGTGCGTTGGGGTTGGTGGTCAGCTAAGCCTTAACTCGCCAACAGTATGGTTGAAAGAAGGTCAAAATATTGAACATTAAGAGTATGACTAGGATACGGGTTATTCTTAAAATTAGGGTTGTGTTCCTTTACTGTTAGCCATAATTCTACGCTGATCTTAACCATAACTTCAACGTTTACCCCCCCCCCCATCCCCACCAACAGCCCAAAGACCGCGTTTATCATGTACTGAATCTCATGCGTCATACAACGCCACTGTTGCACGAAGTAAAAATGTCTGAAATGTGCTCTCCCTAACGAACGGACTTATTGCAAGCGCAAATGCAGTAAGAACATATAATGGACGATCAATAAATGGCCGTACCACGGCAGGAAAAACGCACTCGCTGTATTCATTAAACCAGTGATTTACTGCTGAGCCGACTGATACTTACCTTGCCGATTATGCTTCCAACCTCCTGCAACAAAGAAAAGAGAGATTTAATACATCTATGTCGTTTGGTGAATAGTTCATGAAAATAATGACACGTTTCAAGGAAACGCGTGCCGTTTAAAATCTGCATAATTGCAATGGGCAGTAATCGTATGCATGTAGGCCTACGCGCTATTAAAATAGCATTGTATCAGGTGTTTTATATAACCCTAGGCAAATGGTTACGAAATTAAAGACAAGATATCCCGTCAAATGTAAGTACCCGCACAAATCAGGTGTTTAATATGTTAATTATTTTATTATATATATATATATATATATATATATATATATATATATATATATATACATATATATTCCATTGTCGGCCTTCCTGGTTAGCTAAGCAGGATTAGTTACAGAATTCTTCCCCAGAGTTTGAAGGTTAGCCGACGCGCGTATGTGCTGATGATAGTAGCTGTAACTCCGTGCTAGAAGCAGTGGTACAGAGATCATGAGTCCATGTTGTTGTGTTGAATTTGTTACAGAGTATAGGCCTATATCTAGGTTGTGCATGGGTTGCTCTTAGGCAATGGAATAATTTTTAAGATGCGCTCTACAACAAATCAACAATGGCTAAACACTCGATGAACTCTGCATGTTGTACATACATAGACGAATTAGTGCAATAGATTTTAATCTTCTCATCCGGCCCTTTGCGAGGCTCCAATAGACTCCTAAAACAATTGAGCCGCTATCTTGCGCGTCCATTTTCCGGACTATAAAATTTAAAACCGACCTTACTGTTGGAAAGGTATGCGTGACACACGTCATGAGGGGTTCTTCTCATTACCCAATCTACTATTAGGGACGTTTTGTGTTTAGATATGGTTCACTAATAGGCTTTCCTACATTTTGGAGTCAAGTGGTTCAGCGCATGCGAACAGGGAGCGGTAGACGAGAGAGAATAAAGGGGGCGACTACAGTATCTTACGGGTGTTAACTGATATCCAACTTCCAACAATTCGCCCGTCCATGCCGCCCCGCTGTAACTAGCTAAATTCAGACATGTTTGCTGATCACGCACGCGCACAAGCGCGATTAAACAATCACACGGCGAAGGAGTACGTATTTACGAATGTTTACCTAAACACATTACATTACGCAAACATACGCTAACACACACACACACACACACACACACACACACACACACATACATGCATACACACACACACTCACACACACATACACACACATACACACAAACACACACATACACACACATACACACACAGAGAGAGCGCGAGAGAAAAACACGCGTAGCTGGTTGCGTAGGTGTTAGTTGTGTACATGTCATGTGTCGCCGGGCTTAGCGAAACATCACCGCGTGGTCCCCATTGAACTGGCGGCTCCATTTCGACATCAATAGCGCGCTAGGTGGCAGTCTCTCGGGTACCAGGGATATGTGTGTGTGTGTGAAAGATGTTGACCGAATTCGAGCTTTTGATGCACAGCCGCACGCGCGTACAAATATACACAATCACATCCGCACTCCTACGCGCTCACGTTCTTACACTTTCCACCCACACATATGTTTACGCACATAGACAAATGAATTCCATTCAATCATATCACTTTATTTTCAATTATGGAAATTGCATTTTGAAAAGTATTATAATAGTTAACCAATTTATTAACAACGCTGATAAAAAATTAAGAAGTGAAACTAAATAAATAAATATGATGAGTGACTAATTAACACGTCTTCTAGTCAACCACTCCTATTGATTACAAAACTAGATGATGACAAAATTGCTAGATAAAAAATAATATGCAATATGTGAAACCCGAGTTAGTAATTTATTTCTTGATTTACATGATAAAATATAATAATTATATTATACATGACGACTTTTATTAATTACCACAAACATAACGATGAATTGAAGGGCACACTAGCCTTATTGAAACAATGCTCATTACAGAACCGAAAAACAACCTCAACAAATATTTGATAAACATTTTACAAGCATTAAATAAATAATGAGTAATGTTTCACTTCAATTAATTACATACACATTGCGATTAAGTATAAATTAAACCAATTAAATACATTTCAATACAATAAGATTAAATTAGAAAGATATTAACTGTTGAAAGAGAAGTGCTATCAGTCATACATAATAACACATGGACAGCAACAAAATCGATTTCACAATATATTGATATTCAATAGTTTTTGACCTGTGGCAGTTGAAAATCTTGGAAAACAATACATAGTATCAAAACAAAGTAGGAAAATAATACATAGTATTAAAGAATAGCTGGCCATATAACCATGCACATTCATGGTCAATGCAAAATAATTTGGAAAAAATTAGGTAATTACTTATTTGGGATACGATACAAAAAACATAATTTGGAAGCTGATCCCAAAGCGAGCATCGCATATTGCAAACAGGGGTAGGTAAGCGTATAATAAAACAAAGTTAGAGTGTTAGTATCTACATATTGTCTGAATTTGTATATTATTCCAGCTCTTTTTGACAATTTGTTTGTAATATGTTTAATATGAACGCTCCAAGTTGATTGTCTATATGAACGCCGTGACCAGTATGTTTGATTTCAATGCTGTGTATGTTGACTTAAAAATTAGGAAATGTAGAATTCTTAATCAAATGCTTTTGGCAAAATTTATCGATAAAATCAGCCATCGCTTCATTTATCAGTATATTTTACTTCCAGTATTCGAGTATTAAATTAAACCGGATTTTAATTTGACACAAACAGTATTTTTGTAAAGTTAGAAGCACATGGGAGATCATATATATAAATCAAGAATGAAAGTCGGCCTAGAAATCCTCGTGCCTAGAAAGTCGGCCTAGAAATCCTCGTGGACCAACGCTTAATTGTGACATTAAGAATAGATGAGCGAACGTCCTCGATTGCAGTAAGTTGTGCCCGATTAGTAAGACAGCGTTTAAACGTTGTTAATTTCTAGAGCTGATCCTCTTACGCCTTAATGTTTTGGTTTATGTTAAAGTATGTCATGCTGCACAGTATAAAAACCTTAAAAATAACATGAAATATTACACAGGTAATTTTGCCGGCAACTAGATATTCAAGAGGAGTGACATGATGGATTTACGAAATTGTCAAATCTGTAGAATGTTTATTTTTCTAAACCCAAAATTGATTTGACGAAAGTATATTACATTGGGTTATGAGGTTATCTATCCTATTATACAGACGTTTTTCAAAGACCTTTGAGAATGGCGAGAGACGCGAAATACGAATATAATTGAAACTTATAGACAATTGTAAATAGGTATAATTTTAGCTTGTTTTACGCGGGTAGGAAAAACTCAATACATGATACATTACTTAATAACTTTGGACAATGCCGGTACAAGTGGTGAGCCAAATTAGGCTCACAGCGAATCTTGGACCTAGTTCAACAAATGTGAAAAGCATATGATGAACGTTAGAAAATCCACAATATTTCACAAATGGATACACGGCATCTTCAATTCGCGCGTACGCGTTTTTGCTCGGCAGCTTTACTCCTAGTTAGCTAAAACATCTACAATCGGTAGCGGGGGGCTTAGTCGCTTAACACAATACACACGTACATCCGAAAAAAAACAGCTTTATTTCCCGACTCGGACGCGAGAACCGCTTATGAAGCTAATACAGCCGCTGTCGCTGGGCGTTACTGGCCTTGTGTAACACAGCGCTCGTGTTTCGCAGCGCATTTAGCCGAGCGGCAATACACACGTGTGCGGATTGCCAGGAGTGTGTATTTCATGCACATTGCGCGAAAAAAACACCGGGAGAATTTTCACTCCGCTTTGCAAAATTATCATTTATCGCCACAGGAGCAGATTCTCCTTTAATTCTAATATGTGTGGAATCCCACTTAGAACAAGACACGCGATTCCATCTCATGCTGGCCATGAAGCTTGTGTTTCCTGTTTATTTCATATTATGTATTATTTAGATTTTTGTTCAATTTCTGTGGGACGAGTGTTACGCTGACGGACAGACGTTATTTGAAAGCCTATTTGAAAGCTATTATCGTTCCTCGCCTTTCTTTCCAGAAAACCCGACGCTATTTCCAATCTCCATCAGTAGGTTACGCTACGACATCACGTCAGTAAGCTTTCCCCACTCTATAGAGCATGCAGGTCTAATCGTTTCACAGGGTAAACATTTTTTGCACAGCGCAAACACCACTATAATAGCCAGCCTATATCCCGTCATTTTCTGACTCATGGACGATATTGCGTAGCAAATTAAAGACAAAGTAAATACTTCACAGATTCAACAACGAACAAGCAACTCACGTCCATTATCATCGTAAGGCAGAACACGATAAGATTTAGTTAAAAAGTTGACGAGTTGATCAACTAATCGACCAAGAGTCGGCAGTGTAAACGTAAAAGTTGAGCGCTCAACTAGTTGATGTCATCTAGCTGAGAGATTAGAACATCTTTTTGCCACGCAGTCACTCAGATAATAGCAATCAGGAGGTGTGTCCCTCCGCCCAGGGGGGATATAATTTCCGCGCGTGTTTTTGCTATCGGCGCCACACAGGATACTAGTACACCCTGGTGCGAATTAATAGCGTAGCTGCCGCGGGAAGCAGCATATAATGGACATGTGACAAGCAGGTAACAGTCTGTGGTGTCAAACTCCTCTGGTTCGTTTTACAAGATTTGATTTAGTCTTGTTGACAATATCTTTAATGCAAAATTGCTATTTTCTCACCACCTTGCGTCTATAGTATAGTAAGGTTATATAAAACATGTAGGAAAGCTCCATAACCAATTTATTTCCAACGCCATCGCTAACAAAACTAAAAGCGTGTATACCGTCACAAATTGTGATTATCATTTTGGTTTATCATTGCGATATTATAATATAATATTATCAGGAGTGTATAATAGCGGAGCTTCGACCCGCGCGAGGGAGCACCATACTTAAAAAAATCGATATGGTAACCCATCAACTTCATTTTTGATGGCGTGTCCGTCCGTCCGT